CATACATACATACATACACACACACACACACACACACACACACACACACACACACACACAGGCTAGCCTAGAACTTGTGGTGATCCTCCTGCTCCAGCCTCCTCAGTTCTGGGATTATGGGTCTGCATTCAGTTTGACAACCAAATGAACTCACAACTTTGTACAAGCAAAACAGTGTCATTCTAGTACTTGTTATTTGCATAGATGTTTTCATAGGTTTAATTAAGCCAGAGCTAGAGTTGTTCAAAATATTACCAATGACTTTAGGAGCCTACAATCCTTTGAAATTAACTCTTTGTATTTTTATTACAGGTAAATTGGGATATTCACATTGTACAGAAGCAGAGGTAAGAGAATGTTGCACGTTTCTGGTAAAACCGCTTTGTGCTCTTTATAGTGACTTGAATAAGTTCTTTTGCATTGTTTTCTTAGCTTTCAGATAAGGTATGTTAAGAACAGGTGCATGGCTTCTGTATTCAGGAAAAGTAAAATGTGAAGCAAAATCAGTTACTTTGTCCACTTGTCTGTTATAAGAAATAAATACAGCTTAAAACATTGCCTGTATTGGTAGGTTTAATTAATACCTTAAGCACTGAATAAGAATTATATGTTTAGGTTTTTTTTTTTCCAAAATCTAATCTGTAAAAACATCACTTGATTTTTTTTTTTTTTTTGGTAGGTTTTAGGGATTGAACTCAGGTTCTCATACATGCTAAACAAGCACTCTGCCACTGAGCTGCATTCCCTCCCCAGCCCTCTATAGAGCTTCTCTAGTGTAACAAGAAATAAGAACATGGAAATTGTTTTAGTAAGATGAATAATGAATGAAATGCTTTGTTATTTCTACAAGAAGTTTCGTCATTTGTAAATAATTTAAATAGTTTAATTCAAGATTATGGTTGTGTAATTTAAGGAGTTTCTGTGTGATTACTTATGTTTCTTGCAGGAATTTCAAGGGTAATATTGAAATGCTGGGCAGTGTGTGTGTACTGTTCTTTTCAGTACCAGAGCTTCACTCTTAGATTGGAGGTGTTGGTACTTTGTTAATGTATAAATATTTAGGAAATTGTATGTCTACTTTTATAATGGATCTGTATATTGATACAAGTTTCAGTAAATTTTAACTTATTTTATGTAGAATACAAACTTTCTAAAGGAAGTTATATAATTAAAAAACAAAAATAATCTCAATCCAACCTAAGGAACTTTCAGCAATTAATGGCTGCTGGGAGGCGGAAAGACAGTGTCTTACAGGGTTGGAACTTTTGGTGGGCCCAGTGGGTTGGACCCACACTGAAGGATATTTGGGAACACAAATCAGACTCTATAGGCCATATTATATATATAAGAAAGTACAGGGGCTGGAGAGATGGCTCAGCAGTTAAGATCACTGACTGCTCTTGCAGAGGACCCAGGTTGATTCCCAGCACCCACATGGCAGCTACGAACAATCCTTAACTCCAGTTCCATAAAATAAAAATAATAAATAAAATATTAAAAAAAGAAAGCACATTAAATTGGGTGGGGGGCAGTGGTGGAATGATGTGGATATGGGAGGGGATCTAAATACCATCAAACTACTTTGTACGAAAATTGCAAACATTCAGTTAAATTGCATTCTTCTTTGCATTCAGTTCATTTTTATATTTTCTAGTTTGAAAGTAAAGATTTTTTTTTCAAATTAGTTTTTAAAAAGAATTATTTTTTATTTTATGTGTATGAGTGTATTGCCTGCATGTGTGTAAGTGTAATGCCAGTGGAGGTCAGAAGAGGGTGTTGGATCCCCTGGAACTGGAGTTTAGGATAGTTGTTAGCTGCCATGTGGGTGCTGTAAGAGCAGTTGGTGCTCTAACAGCTGAACCATCTCTCCAGCCCCTCAAATTAGTTTTAAAAATGGGTAAGAACTTAATATTTTTGTATTACTGGATTTTTTTTTTTTTTTTTGGCCTAGGAGTCTGGATATATTGTTCAACATGGTATGGAGGATTGGAGTGGATGTAAATAAGGACATAGAGTTTTTTATCTGTAGTTTCAGGATATATGTTGTTCTAGCTTTGCAAGTTTGAGCAAGGAATTTTCCTCAGGAGGTTTATCTCTCTTGTCTATAAAATATTTATAATTTCTATTAAAGTCATAGGTTTGTAGAATTTTAAAGAGAATATATGTGAAAATTGTTTCATTAGCTCCAAAGACACCTTTGTAATTAAGAGAATATAAAGTCAGCATTCATCTGCGTTTAGTATTGAAATATGATTATACATGCAAGGTATTGTCCCAAGTCTCATTCTATGTTGAATTGTATTGCCACAAGATTAGCATGGTTTTTTGTTTGGTTTGGTGTGGGTTTTGAGACAGGGTCTCCCTGTAGCCCCAGCTGGGCTGGAACCTGATATGTAGACCAGACTGGCCTTGAGCTCACAGAGATCTGCCTGCCTCTGTCTCTCAGGTGCTGGGATCAAAGTCGTGCACCACAATGCTGGGCTAAGTTCTGCTTGGTTTTAACATTTGTTTAGTGCCCTGAATGATGACTCTCAGACTAACTGCAGAAGCAAATATGAGAGCTGACTGGCTGTTATTAATCATCAAGAGGGTTTTACAAAAACGTAAAATAATACCCTAAGTTTTTGAAAACAATAGTTTTTTACCCTTAAGTGTTATTTATATTAACATGTGGGTTTAAGTGAGTGGTAAATATTTTTACATTTTCTCTTTTGATTTCTAGCATTGTAGATATTTGTTAATAGTTTATATAAATAAAAGCTCTTAAGCCCCTCCTCAGTGAGGTTTTTTTTTTGTGGGTTTTTTTTTGTGTGTGTGTGTGTGTGTGTGTGTGTTTTTTGTTGTTGTTGGTTGTTTTTGGTCTTTTTGAGATAGGGTCTCCCTGTAGCTAGCCTGAAACTCACTATATAGATCAGACTGGGCTTGAAGTCACAGAGATCTGTTTGCCTCTGCCTCCTGAGTGCTGGGACTAAAGCTGTGAGCCACCACGCCTGGCGAGTTTTTTTTTTAAAGTGTGTGAAGGTTTTCTGAGAATGGGGATGCACTGGGTTAGAAGGGCACTCTTGAGAAGAGATTCCTGTAGCTTTGTGTGAGGCAGAAGGCTATTGTGTTCTTGCTGGCAGTAAGGCCAGAGTAAGAGTGTATGGAGGTAGCTATGTTAGGGCCCATGGCACATGCCTGAGCTTCTGAGTGTGTGTGTGTGTGTGTGTGTGTGTGTGTGTGTGTGTGTGCGCGTGTGTGTAGAGGGGAGGTCAGTGCACTTCTGTCAGTTGGGTGGTGGCTCCTCCCAGCTTTCTAGCCTCCTCATCCCACAGTGGGTTGCTGTGAAAGAGGCCTGGATGGATGTGAAGCCTGCCTTGATGTAGCATGTTATTATTCTACATGGAAAGAAGGAAGGTCCTGCTTCTTAAGTAAGGCTCATAGGTTCACTGAGGAAAACAAAATTTTCCTGGGGCTGTAGGAGCCTGACCAAGGCAATATAGTTAATACAGAGAGCACAACATGTCTAACTCTCTTTTAAAATATTTTATTTGTTTTTATTTTATGTGTATGAGTATTTTGCTTTCATGTATGTAATTGCACCCAGTGCATGCAATACCCTGCAGAGGTCAGAAGAGGGTGTTGGATCCCCTGGAACTAGCGTTAAGGACTGTTATCAGCTGCCATGTGGATTTTGGGAACTGAACTTAGGTCCTCTGCAACAGCAGCCAGTGTTCTTAACTGCAGAGCCATCTCTCCAGCACCAAATTCCTTGTTTTTGTAGTACATAGAAAACATTATGAATTATTTTTCTAGTTTTTAATGTATTTTTTAATTTATCCTTTGAGAATTTCATATAAGTATGTGATGTATTATGATGGTCTTTACCCCCACTCTCCCACTTCCAACTCCTTGGATCTTTCTGCCCCTTCTCCTGTCTCCCAATTTCATGTCCTCTTTTTATTTGCCTTTTTAAAAAAATCCACCGGGACCAATTTGTGTTGCCCATATTTGCGTGGGTGTGAGGCCACCCACTGGAACATAAGTCAGCCTACATCCATAAAGAAAATTCCCTCTGCTGGGTGTGGTGATGTATGCCTGTAGTTCCAGAAGTTGGGAGGGAGAGGCAGGCGTATGTCTGTGAGTTCAAGGCCAGCTCTGGCTACAGGGAGACCCTGTTTCAAAAAGACCAAAAGAGCCGGGTGTGGTGGCACACACCTTTAGTCCCAGTGCTCGGGAGGCAGAGGCAGGTGGATCTCTGTGTGTTCAAGCCCAACCTGGTCAGCTGGGGCTACAGGGAAACCCTGTCTCAAAAGGACCAAAAAGAAAAAGAAAAAAAAAAAAAAAAAAAAAAAAAAAAAAAAAAAAAACAAAAGAAAAAAAAAGAAAACTCTTCCTCTAGGAGTGAGCATTCATCTGCCAGTAACTCCCCAGCTAGGGCTCGGAGCTTGCTTGCCCCTCCCCTCTCCTTGCTGGAATGCTGAGTGGCTCCATTTTGCCTAGGCCTTTGCAGGCAACCACAACTGCTGTGAGTTCCTGAGTGCAATTGTCCTGTCATGTCCAGAACACACTGCTTTGCCCAATCCTCCCTGACCTATGGCTCCTACAGTTGTTCTATACCTTCTGTGGTGTTCTCTGAGCTTTAAGGGGAGGGCATGGGCTTTTAACTATGGCCTCTGGGAGGAAGGAGCATTATCCCCTATGTAGACCAGGTTGGCCTCAAACTCAGCCTCAAACTTTGCCTGCCCCTGCCTCCCAAGTGCTTTTTATTGTTTATTTTATGTGTGTGAGTGTATTGCCTGCATGCATATAAGCGCACTATGTTGTGCAGTGCCTGTAGAGGTCAGAAGAGGTTGTTGGATCCTTTGGAACTGAAGTTATGGGCAGTTGTTAGCCACCATGTGAATGCTTGGATACCTGGGTCTTCTGTAAGAACAGCCAATGATCTTAACATCTGAGTCCTCTTTCCAGCCCCCAAATTCACTCTTTTTAGTCACATTACTTCCAGTATTTTACCAACATATTCCTTTGTTAACCACTTATGATAAAATTCCATCATCCTCCAGTTCTCCCTCACACGCTTCTTCATACTTCTGCTCCAGCAGCCACTGATCTGCTGTTGCTGTCCTTACTCTTTGAGGACCTGACACTTAAATAGTGTGTGACCCATACTCCCCCTTCCTAGAAGTGGCTCAGACTGGTAACTTATAAACTCGTGGATGACTAACCTGTACTTTTACTTGCTTATCCAAGAGGCAGCTCCGATCTGAGTTAGGGGCAGCTTTTATCTCCATTTCACAAGTTTTTCCTACTATCATTATTTCAGAAGTACTTATGGATTATAATTCTTGAAGACAATTGCTGGGCA